GCCTCCCTAGTGAAATTTTGAGAAAAAAAGGTTTATATAGAATCCATTTTTGGGTCGTACACCAGAGAAAACCAGCTGAAGATGTTGCCGTTTGTGCTCTTGGAAGAAGTTTACAGGCTTACTACTTGTAAAAATTTTGGACACGTTATAAAATGTAAAAGATGGAAAATGTACTGATTATGAGGTTGATTTTGTATCAAGTGATGTGAAAATGAATGAAACTGGGGGGAGAAGCAAAAGGGAGAGCTGGGTTAAGGACTGTTTTTGAAGTTTATATTATTAAAATTTTGGATTAGCAATATAATAAGATGAATGAAGTAGATGATTAATGATATATAATTATAAAGGATTTATGATTATTGCAATGAGAAATGGTAAAGTTTAATTTTTAGATATTTGGATTGGGGGAGTTGGATAACTATATTATATTATGAGTCTTGGTGTTAAAATAGAGTTTTTTACTATTTGAGTTAAAGTTTTTTTTAAGGATTGTTTTTGAAGCTTATACTTTTAAAATTTTGGATTAGCATTATAAATAAGATGAATGAAGTAGATGATCAATGATATATAATTATAAAGGATTTATGATTATTGTAATGAGAAATGGTAAAGTTTAATTTTTAGATATTTGGATTGGGGGAGTTGGACAATTATATTATATTATGAGTTTTGGTGTTAAAATAGAGTTTTTCTATTATTTGAGTTAAAGTTTTTTTTTAAGGATTGTTTTTGAAGCTTATATTCTTAAAATTTTGGATTAGTCTTATAAATAAGAAGAATGAATTTATATGAATGTCTTGAAGTAGATGATCAATGATATATAATTATATTATTTTAAAGGATTTAATTTTTGTATTTAATGGGATTATTATAATGAGAAATGGTAAAGTCTAATTTTTAGATATTTGGATTGGGGGAGGATGGATAATTATATATGAGTGTTGGTGTTAAAATAGTATAATTTTTGTTTTTTGTTTTTTTTCTATTCGAGTTAAAGTTTTTTTTTATATAACTGATTGCTTTAGGGTGTGTTAGTTCTGGGAAGTCGGGGAGGGGAGGTGATTAGGGGGAAATTATAATTTGATGTATTTAATTATTATAGGTATATAATGGAATTGTATTAATAAGAGGATATACTCGGCTGGTACCCCAAGTTGCACTGAATGAGGTGGTTAAGAAGGCGAAGGGGATGTAGAGAGGTGGTAAGAAAAGGAGAGGTTGTAGGTTTAGGGGGAGGAAGGAGAGGTAAAGTGGATGAGGGTGGAGGCAAGGCGGGGACTGCCGAGTGTATCCGAAAATGTTTTGAGTATCTTTATTGTTTGTTGGTGTATATACATGCATCATTTGTATTTGTTGTTTTAATTGAAAAATTAATAAAAAATTTTATTAAAAAAAAAAAAGTATACATACTTTAACTCTAATAAAGCAATAAGTAAAAACAATATATCTACTCAAAAACTATATATTTATTCACTCCATACTTTCTCTAAATATAATCTATCCACCTTCAACATTTAAGCTCAAAACATTTTTTAAAAATCTAAATATCAAACATCTTATATAAAAAATTTTTCTTAAATTTTACACTTAAATTTTTCCTTCACTTTCTTCACTCTCAAGTCAATACTTTCAAGAAAATCTTAAATCAATACTTCCTTCTTCAAAGCTGGAAAAGTAAAATAAAATCCCAATCTTAAGTTTATCAAATATTTTGAATCTTTCAGAATACTATAAGTTCTTTACAAACATATAATTCTTTTTATATTATTTCAAATATTAAACTAATTTCTTCCTTTTCCATAATAAAGTCTCACATTCAGCGTCATCAACTTAACCATCCTTTGGCTTATGAAGCTTATTAAGCATTCCCTGCAAGTCTGTCGTTGCAGATCTCTTTGGCCTCGCCCCTCCCACTGGCTCCGAAGTCGGTGAATATGTTATAGATACAATTTCTTTTTGTTGTTGCTCTCTCTCTTTACGCCTATAGGCAACACAGGTCATTCTTTGCTCCTTTGAATTCACTCCCAACTTTTGTTGATTCTGAGGATCTCCTGCAGATAATGACATGGCCCCAGGCAATTCCACAACAAGTTGCTCCATCAAATCTTCCTGTGCTTTAAATGTCGATGATGGTGACAAATCAGCTTTCAGGACCGACAAGTAAAAATCTTTAGCTTTTTGAACAGAATTTAATCTGTATCNGGGATGTAGAGAGGTGGTAAGAAAAGGAGGAGAGGTTGTAGGTTTAGGGGGAGGAAGGAGAGGTAAAGTGGATGAGGGTGGAGGCAAGGCGGGGACTGCCGAGTGTATCCGAAAATGTTTTGAGTATCTTTATTGTTTGTTGGTGTATATACATGCATCATTTGTATTTGTTGTTTTAATTGAAAAATTAATAAAAAAAATTATAAAAAATAATAATAATAATAATACTGATTTTAAAATAAGTTGCATGCTTTTCACAAATCAGTAAATATAAAAACAGCTGTGGTATAAGAAAAATAAAGTCCAAAAATGTGGTTTCAGCTTAGGTGTGTACAGTCAATTATTTTTTTTTTTGTGGGAAAAGAACAAATCACTGAGAGGAAACAGGAATGAGGAAAAGGCAAGTGAACTGAATATTAACTCCAGCCATTGTTTATATAGGACAGTCTGCCTGGAAGTTGGAATTCTGTAAAAGTCTTGTAATTTTTTATTATTCTCAGCAGCAAGTTGTAGGAAGGTAGCAGACTTACAAAGTCCTATTTGAATAAAAATATGGTCTCATTTCATCCATCCATTTTTTTACATATGTTGCTTTATTTTGTGTTGTTTTGTATCCAGACATTGACTTTTATAGGCTTCAGTAAATTTTAATGGTCTTTGAAGGCAAAATGCCAGTGCACTAAATAAAAATTAGCAAAGTCAGCTTACCGAATTTCATAATTGTTCAGTTGCTTGATTGCATTCTTTGCCTCTTGTTTATTGCAGAAGGTTACAAAGGCATATCCCCTGTTGTTTCCACTGAAATCCATCATCATCCGCATCTCATAGATTTTACCAACCTGGAAAAGTCAAGCATAAAGTCCCATAGGTTTTTTTTTTAAGAAAAGGAATTGCTATCTGCGTTACAGTTTATCAAGGTCTGTTGCCCTCATAATTCTGACTGTATGCTTATTTCATTTTAGGACAGGTTACCTTTCAACATACTTTATTTGAGATCTGTTTTCTGACCCATATATAAATCTGAAACAAACAAACACAAGAGGCTTATGCTAAAGCCCCAGGATAGCAATAGCAATAGAACGTAGACTTATATATCGCTTCACAGTACTTTACAGCCTTCTCTAAGCGGTTTACAGAGTCAGTATATTGCCCCCAACAATCTGGGTCCTCATTTTACCGACCTTGGAAGGATGGATGAATCAACCTTGAGCCACTGAGAATTGAACTGCCGAACTGCCGGTAGCTGGCAGTCAGCAGAATTAGCCTGCAGGACTGCATTCTAACCATTGTGCCACCACGGCTCTTAGGATGTTAGTAATTATTTTTATTAACACATTCCAGTAATAATTGACTTGTTTCAGGAATCTTAGACTTCTGTCTGCTGTGTTTCTTAATTTTCTTTCTCTCAGGACTCTTGCCCACTTTAAAAAATTATGAAGGAACCCAAAATAATTTTTGTTTGCATGGGTTATTTTATTTGATAGTTATTGTATTAAAAATTAAAATCAACACATTTGCTGCTGTAACTACTGTGTTTCCCCAAAAATAAGACCCAACTGGAAAATAAGCCCTAGCATGATTTTTCAGGATGCTCATAATATAAGCCCCACCCCCAAAATAAGCCCCAGTTAAGATCATCAGCCAGATGGACATATTTAGTACCATATTTTCCTGAAAATAAGCCCTAATGCATCTTTTGGAGCAAAAATTAATATAAGACGCAGTCGTATTTTTGGGGAAACATGGTACTATTTATCATGGTTGGTAGGATTTTAATATGGTATTATTTTTCTATGTAGGCTGGCAAATAATTTTAATTTTTGAGGGCTCCTGATACAATGGGGGACCCCCTACTTTAAGAAACACCGATTTAAATGTAAGTCATGTTATCTTGAATGGATATGTTTATTGTTGGTTTTTAATTTAAGTTGTAATAATAAATTAATAAAATCAATACTAAAATTTTAGTATAAATATACTGTAAAATTTATGGTAATATTGTTACAATGAATTGTTTGCATTGAGAAAAATACTTCAGGATAAAAATAGTAGAAAAATAGCTCCCTAGTCAATGCAGTACAAGCATGAGATGTTTTGGGTATTTCCACATTAACAACTAAAAGCTGGGGATAGTCCATTTAAAGTTGGTTATGAATGAAATGACATATAAGCCTAAGTAAAATAAATAGACAGGTGGCTTCTTTTGTATACTTAGGTGTTACGTCCGGAGAATAATGGCGCTTGAAACGAAGCATTTCTAACAAGTCTTTATTCTCTGCTTCCATTCTACGAACAACCCGAGCAGAGGCACACAGGCCTCTATTTATACCTTCTAATCCCCGGGCAAGTTTAACCAATCATGAGGCGGTCTTTTCCCGCCTTGCGCATGCGCACAAGGCCGGCGCCACTCAGTCTGGTCCCGGGCAGCTTTTGCAAATGCCTGGGACTCTTGCAACGTCCCAAGCCTGCTTTTGCAGGCTCAGGACACAACACCCCTCCCCCCTAGATGAAATAAGACGGCGCCCACATGGACGCCATCATAGTGATGGTTATATAGTTAACTAATAAGTTAAGTTACACAGTGTGTGTATGGTGTGGAACTGTTCCGTCGTACAAAACCCAGTACCCCCAACATCGTTTACGTAGTGTCAACCAGTCAGAACCTCTAGTTCAGTGATTGCAGTTCACCTGCTCACCTTACATAATCTGCAAGGTATTTGGGAGGGCCTTTGACCCTGAGTGACCTTCTCGGACCTGGGGAACTTGTAGTGTTTTCCCCGTGTCTTCCCATACTAGGTGAATTTCCATGTGGTTGTTGTGTGACTTCAGTTTGACTTTCCTGCCCATCTCTTAGGCTTGAGAAGTCAGAACTCTGTTGATCACTATACCCGGTTGACCTACCACCAATGGAGTTTTCCAACCCCTCTGAACTCATCTCCGTGTTTCCTGACGGAGTGTGGTTTTCCTGGCTCCTTCCTGTAGTGTGAGGGTTTAGGGATGCCTCCCTGTTAGCCCTTATGCGTGGGGACATCCTTCTATGAGCCGTTTCAGCAAAGGATGTGTTTCCCCTCTGTTTTTCCTGCTCTCTTGCATGTTGTGAGTTGTGAGTATGCTCCCAGTGATTCTCCGTGTCTGAAGTATTGTTTGTGAGGTGTGGATAGTTAGTATCCCTCCGGCGGGACTCCCAGGCTGGAGTGTGTGGGGGGGTGTCTGTGTGCCCCCGTCCCCATGAATTGCTACCTGAATCTCCAGTGGAACTTGGGTGTTGAGAGCCCGTGTCGTTCCCCACAACTGTTGTTGGCAGCAGATTCTGATTCTCAGAATGCATTTCCCATTCCTCCTCCCCCCCTAGAGGAGACTGAGGAGGAACCCCAGGTGAGTCCCGCCTCACACGTAATTGATCAATGTGGCGGCGAAGAACACGGCCGTCTTCCAGGGACACCTCGTAGGACAGTGGCCCCAAGACCTTGCAGACCACCGCCGGGACCCAGAGGTGTCCAGGCCCGTAGTTCCTGGCCCAGACAGGATCGCCTTCACGCAGAACCCGTGGTGGGTGTGGCTGGGACACTTGTGATGCTACACGCTCCGGATGCAGCCTGTCCAATTTAGTCATGAGCCGACGACCCCAACGGAGTTCGGCCGGGCACTTACCCGTGGCAGTGCACGGAGTAGTACGATGTGCCAGAAGAAAGTCAGCCAACCTGTGATGCCAATTGCCATAAGTCAGCTTCTTGAGGGCGTCCTTTGTGACGCGGACCATCCGTTCAGCCAGACCGTTGGTGGAAGGATGGAAGGGAGCCGAAGCAGCATGGCGAATCATGTTGGCCCGAAGAAATCCCTGAAACTCAGTAGAAGTAAATTGAGGACCGTTATCTGACACTAAAACTTCTGGCAGCCCGTGTGGAGCAAAAATGTTTTTCAACACCTGAATAGTCTTGGTGGCTGTGGTAGAAGACACAGGCACGACCTCCAACCATTTGGAATGGCTATCAACAACAACCAGGAAGAATTGACCCTGAAAAGGCCCAGCGTAATCTACATGTATTCTAGACCATGGAGTGTGTGTTTCCTCCCACCTGTGTACAGGGGCCTGAGGCATTTCAGGCCTGGACTGTTGGCAGGCATGACAACCATGGACTTGGGACTCGATGGCCCGGTCAATGCCAGGCCACCACAGATGGCTGCGTGCAAGCGCCTTCATCCTGACAATTCCAGGGTGGCCCTCATGTAATGAGATCAAGATTCTAGCCCTCAATGAGGCCGGGATCACAACTCTCGATCCCCAGAGGAGGCAGCCATTGAAAGTGAACAACTCGTGCCTCTTAACCCAAAAACCCAGTGTCGGCTGGCGACCCCCAGGGGGAGAGCCTTCTCTGTCGGAGCACCCACCCTCTGGAACGAGCTGCCCCCAGAGATCCGGGTGATTCCGGATCTCCCCTCCTTCCGCCGCGCCCTCAAGACCTGATTATTTCAGCGGGCAGGACTGGCCTAGGGGTATTTTAAATTGGTTTTAATCAAATTTTTAGTAGAAGCGGCCAAATTTGAATATTTATTTTTAATCATTTTTAAATTTTGTATTGTATTGTATCATTGTTTTAAACTGGCTGTAAGCCGCCCTGAGTCCTCCGGGAGAAGGGCGGGGTATAAATTTAATAAAATCAAAA